GGTAGTTCTTTAGAAAACGTCGCTGTACCACCACTGAAGTAGAGAAAGATATATGATCTAGGAGTAAATCATGAGGAATTTATGATTTAAATAAAAATGTTCTATTGTCGTAACTATTATACAGGTAAGCACCTTAAAGTGATAAAATAACAATCTGAAAAAAAATGTCAAGAAAACACCTTGAAGTGACCGTTCTACTTGTACATACTACAACATTCCCATAAAAGATTTCATTTTAGCATCGTTATGTTACCTTCTATATTCGCCGAAGGGTTTTTATAGTTCTCTATTGTGATTGAGACTGCAAAAACACACAGAGACAGCAAACTAAATAAAAAATCAACACAAAGACAGGAGTAAGGTTTACACTCTACAACTATAATTCAAATCTGCAGTGCATTCCATAAATATACAAAACCGTCAAAATCATGAAACAAACGATGAATGAGAAAATGAAGAATGAATATATATCAATACACTTATATAAGTAAATTACCTGCAAAAACACACAGAGACAGCAACATAATTAAATAAACAAGAAAGTCAGAAGTTTCGTTCTCACGTCTACAATTGTAATTCAAACCTGCCGTGCGCATGCGTAGCGGTAAATTATGAGCGAAAAATGAGGCCCGTCACCAGTTACTATAGTTAGTGTATGATTTAGATGAATGATAATGAGGCTATGGGAGTAAATATGAGATAAAGACTGGATGGAAAAGGAAGAATATATTTATAAGAAATGCACTATATATCATATAGGATATAATAATGGTCAAGTATATACATGTATATATAATGAAAAATGACCCTGTGACAGTTATTTTAACTGAATTAATCTATATTGATTGATGGAGTTGACTATCCCTCTGTGTTATTAATATCCTCATTACTGGAACATTTACACTATAATTACGCATTATTTTATAAGATCAACTTCTTACACAGCTATTTTCGAGTCCCAGATCCATGGTTTAGGAAAGTATTGCCTTACTTGACCTTGTGCAGCAGCCCGACCACCCCCTACCACTGATAGAATCATTCTGCCTACACGTCCTACAGTACTCACTTTATCTAAATTGTACCTCTCTGAAAGTCATTTAAATATATCTTGACATCATTAAATGAGTTAGAACTTTTATCATGATAACATATACTCAAATATTTATATATTGTTATAATACAAGTTTTTGTCCTATTTTAAGCACGTTTCAATTCAATGTATGTTTCTTCAAAAAGCATGGTTAAGGGGGCGTGCGGTTTTAAGTCATACTAGGTGTCATGCCAAGTTTTTCTTGTAAAACTATCCTGTTAATGGTTTAATGGTAGTTTCAGAAAGCGGGTTCGAATGTAATTAAAATAAGCTACAACCGAGTTTCAATTACTTTAGTACGGTTACATCTGATGAAAAAAGAAGATAGTATTAATCAACTTAAACAGACTCCCTTCTTATTCAGTCAAAATATCTAAACCATGTAATTGTTAAATGGAGACATACTTTAAAGCAGTTACATATATGGCATATAACAGACTAATATATATCATTATTTATCATTTGAATCAAATTAGACGAAAATAAATCACAAGTTATAATGTGCTTCCTTTCAATATAATTCAATTATAATAAAAGCTTTGCTTTGATGAAAAAATAAATATCAGGTTTTGTAAATAAAACAATATTGTAACGTTAAGTTTGATTTAAATCGAAGGTAGACATTTAACTGAAAGCAAGATCCAAACATTATTTGAATTCCTCGTAAACGGATATTGATAATAAAAAATACGTTTTAACATTACATTAATTGAATAATGAATAATTACATACGTGACCATAGGTCAAAACTGTATAAATGAGCGTCTGTAAGAACTCTGATCCGGGCATTCTGGAAGCAAATAAACGATGCTTTTACCTTATTTACTGTATCCATGAATCAAATAAGCTGTATTACAAATCACTTATTGTTTGGAAAATATTTTAGAAAGTTTAGAAAAGAAAACAAAAATACATGAAATATGTAAATATGTCATTATAGTTTGTTTTAATAACTATTAAAAAATAATTTACTTTAAATAAATGATATGATACTAGGCTTTTGAGGTTGTTTTACAATTACTCTAGTTATATTCTTAAGTCTTATTACCATTACCCTCAAAGTGTTCAGTGCGGTAACGGGCAACTCTCAAATAGAATTTTTTCATATTGTAACACTGTATTTGTTGATCGTTTATTTGGAATATGAATGACGATTTAAAGTGCTATACAAGAGAAACATACTATAATCTGATGAACAACGTCTTGATGACAAATGTGAGTGTTTAAAATTTCAATTAAACAAATTTCACTAACCATTTTAAATGTTGACATTTTAGCTAAAACCGTTGTTACGTATTGGACCTAGACGTCCGCCTATTAACAGGGTCAATCAAATTTTATTTTTTGCAATGTGTTTGTATGTTTTTGAACTTACATCAAAAATATCAGAAGCATCATCTGCTGTAAATGACCATGGTGAGATAGGTCCCCAATCTCTCCAGATCCTAACAGTATTTCCAAACTGGTTCATTTCATCTACCACCTGTATGAAGAGGACAGGTAAGTCAAAATGTGTTTTACGTGAACTATAAACACAACACTGAATCATAATTGATTTCATTACTTCAAGATCCTTAGTTGACAAATGCGTTTAAAAGTTTATACCCATTGAATAATAAAATGCCAACACACAGACAATAAAACTGCTGGTCAGTCTGTGAGGTGTATAATACTAACAAAATTCAAAAGCGATTGCCATCAAAATACTTTAGATGTCCACTACATGTAATATAAAAATATGATGAAACAGTTTTACCCTATTGGGTGTAATGTCATTGCCTTCACCAAGCAGCTTAACACTTTTATCTACAGCAAGAACTTTCACCATTGAATCTGGGTCTGCTTTAACAACCAGATTAACCAACGTTTTTGGCTTCTGTGGCGACAGCTTAGTGAATTGTATAGTAACCTGAAGATATAAAGCAATGCATTAAAGTTAAAACAAACAAAAAAGGTTGTTTCATTATTGCATTTCTATTATAAGTGATGAGATGAAGAAAGTATGTGTACTACAGTTTTATATTATATATTATAAGGATATAAATTATTTGTGTGATTATTTGCCGTTTTGTTTTTAAACATGTAAAATGGAAATACAGTTGAAGGCTAAAATGAAGCAACGCATATCATATTAGGGGCGCAGTGGAAACTTTTATTGACAAGAAAGTCGTGGCCAAGAAAACTTAATAATCTATTTTAAAACTTAAATTAAATTTAACACATTACGAATATGGATGAGTATTTTTACTGTCGAAGGAAAAAGGATATCACTGTACATGTAATTAAATGTCGGATGTAAGATCTAAATATTATAGCATAATTCTGTTGTTCACAATTAGAAAGCTACCTTATTTTCGAACATATTTTCTATGAAGAAATGAAGTCCGTCAGCTACAATTTCATCATCAGGTTTTACATAGTAGGCAATAAATCGTGCTGATGGAGTCATATCCCGTGTAAGTTTGAACTTAACAGTCGCTTTATTCGGGTTCACACCAACATTGACATCAGAACAATCAACTATCACTCCCTTTGATAAAATCTACGAGAAATAAAATAGTTTTACATTGAAGTTTGAGCAGAATAAATAACTCGACAATCATATCAGCAGGCAGCCATGTTCAAAATGCTATTTGGTTTGTAGCTATTTAAGCAACTGTATTTACAGATGTAACCATGCATAAATTATGACAGTTATGCTATTATATTCTTCTACAAACAATATTTAGTTTACAAAACAAGCATTCATGGAAGCACAATTTTTTCAGCAGAGAATGTGTAATGACATTTTGTACTGCAAATTATTTAATTAATTAATTAATTAATTAATTAAGTACTGATATTAAAGTTAAAGTATTACTAAATGCAAGTCCCATAACACAAAAAAAGACTTACGAATTTGACTGTATTGATCGCGACTAAGTTACACAAAATTATATCCATTTATAAAGAAAGCAATATTGAATAGAACATACCATCCAATTGATTTTTAATCTCCCAATTGTACCGTAAATTTCCATGGTGACAATGTCGTTAATCTAAAATTTGAAAAACATATAATGTTATACATTATAAATAAAAATGTAGAACTTGTTAGGACTCATACAAACTTTATTTTAAATGAGGTTGGTCCAGGAAGTATATGAAATACTAATAATTTGTATTTAATCCCAGACATCAGGCTACTTTGTAAGGAAAAAATTGACACAAAACATTGAGGGAAAGAAATACAGGCTGGACAAAACAAGCCAAATTTATTCCATTTCTTTAAACACGTAGCTTTAATGTATGACAAACTTTAGGTAATATTTGATATGTTGTAATTCTTTCCGTAACATCTTTTAAGAATGGTACCGTTACTTGTTTAGATTACATGCATATCAAGTAGTTTATTAATGCCATAATACATAAATTATAACTCTAAACTAAGAATTCTGGTTATCTCTATGTCGCCATTTTCCTAAGTTTATTTGTATAATGAATGACTGTATAACATACCATTCATGGGTTTGTGGCCTTTTGCGAATGCAGTAATTATAATTATAACAATTTGTCACTTTTACCTTCAGTGCAGACATTGAATTTAACATTCGAATTCTTAGGAAACTGTCGGTTGGCGATCTGAATCTGCTTACTCCTTTTACAGCAATAACTCCAGAGTATTCTGCCTGCAAATATAAACAATCTAAAAGCCAATGTAAAAGTCATCTATTTACCTTCATGTAATGGTTACTAGGTAGGTGATAAATTACCATGTAGATCGACTCTAATATGCCTGGGGCCTCTTCGTGTATTTTCCAGACACAAAATGTAACCTAAATGGAGCCATCGACCTTCCGAGATTTTATTTCGATAAATAATTTAAATGGACTCAAATCATATAAACAAACTGTTTACCTTTATTACAAACGTGGCGGTATTGGCTGGAATCGGTAAGTCAAACTTAATTGATCCATCTGCTGCAATTGGGTACGTCTTTGTTTTCTTTAATATAACTTCGCCGTTGATGAATGGGCAGATAAGGGAATAATTATCAAATGTTAATCTGTCTGGTATCTGTTCTACGACTTTTGCATCAGTAAAGTAGGTGAATGTAAAGAGGACATTTTTGTTGTCTGTTGGTTTAAAGTCAGGTGGGCTACCATCCTGCAGTCTTACCTTTGCCTATATTAACGATATCAGTTTGATAACTAGTACAAAATTAGCAATTATGATAAAATAATCCGTTTAAATTTTGTTAGGACACAAGTCATATGATGCCAGATTCATTTCTAGCTAATAAAGATCAAATTTATATATATAATTGATCTTCTGACAAAAGTCAGTTTTCTATATGTTACTTTTTTACTATATTTCTTATTTCAATGTACAAAAAATATTTTTGTCTTGCATTATATCATTTGTAAAATTGTTATTATTAAAACTGTCGTTATTACTATGTCGGTAATACAAACAAAAACAAATACATATTAACAAAATGTAAAAGTAGTTTCCCTTTTATGAAACATGATATGATTAATAAACAACTTACAGACACTTTGTATGGATCAAATCCAGGTTTGAAGTTATCTGCCATATTTGGGAAGAATTCGAGTTTGTATGGATTGCTATGGTAACGAATTTCCCCCTCCCCTTCTAAAGTTTGTCCAGTCATTGTCTCAGTACAATTTGCATGGACCACAAACGTCTTGTTATCAAGTTTGTCTTTAATCAAAGTTTTAACTAGGTATATTGGTATGCTGAATGAAGCTTCTCCGTTGATCTACAAATACATCATTACATTCATAGCAATTATTTTGTTTTACATCTGACACATAAATTCGTTGGCATAAAAGTATTCGTAAATATTTTGTTATTTGGCTGAAATGTAAAAATCGTCGTCAGTTTGTTCTATTTTAAATTGAGCAAACAAGATTTTTATGACGTTGATGCATTGTGAATGAGTAATACAAATCAACAATGTAATTAGATAATTCATAAATAATTCTTAACAAGAATGAATACACTCAATTAAATCATTTTGTCTATGTTTACACTGTTCATCAAGCAATGTTGTTTTATTTTATATCTTTAATACGTGCTATGTAATGTATAAAATCAATGTTGCAATTGGTTGTATACTGAATTATGCAAATGTAAGCATTTTCATACTTCAGTCACATTGAGCCTAGATCAGTTGTACATGTTAATTTTGTGTGTGCTTCCTTAAATGTTTCCATTTTTGACCATTTACTCAACTTTTGTTTTGTTTCAATTATAGAATATGTCGATGTGCATAAAAGCAGATTTTATGTTTATGTTGAGCTTACGTTCTTAAACATTCTTTATCTAAATGTTCGAGGCATACTATAAAACTCATATTCAGAATAAATTTGCCAAACACATAATAATCATTGTCTATAACCAAAGTCCATCTACAAATTGAAATAAAAATGAATTGAGATGATGTAACTACATATAAAAAAACCAACCAGAGTCAAATTAGTTCTAACAGCCTTAGCGAGGTAGAATCCGGATCCATATCGTTTGCTGATGGTGAGAACGCATGTCCCGTCAACAGGGTCTCCAAGTGTATACCTAAAAAGTTTAAACATAGATGAAATCAAATCTACATATAAATGAATCATTGCCAGATAAACTTTAAATGCATTACAGGAGAAAAATGTCTGCAATTTATTCGGAAGTGGTTTAAGAAAGTAAAATTTGTTTTCCTTATTGAATCAAACAAGAGTCGTTTTAAACTTGTCGAAATTATTTTCAGGTTTAAAATGTCATGCATGTGTTTGTTTATACTCGTAATTGAATAAAACCATGAGGGAAAAATGACAAGCGGTTAGTGGTTTGTTTCCAGATTTTAGTAGTTAAAAGATAACAATTAAGCATTTTAGGTGCATGTGATATATCTTAGGTTAACATATTATAATATATATACTCTTATTATTATGTAAAAAAAATGTTCATCTCGCAAACTAAACAGGTTAAGACATATAATGAGAATATTACGTTGCTTTGGCTCTTCCGTTTAGAAACGTGTCTGTTGTTCTTCCAAACGCGTCTAGCTCCACGGTCACCTCAAAATTGGAAAGCACTGTGAATCAAGTCTCAATATTTCAGTCAGAGATAAACAGGAAGTTAAAATTTTATTCTAATAAATATTGATTTGATTAAAAAAGGAAGTATTATGTTTTTATTACACATTTCATTAAGGAAAAGTAGTTTATCAGAAAGTAGGCTTCTATACCTTAGAAAAAGATCAGTTATTAGTTTTAAAAAGTATTACAAATATCATTTTGCAATGCAGTTACTCGTACTTAACAAAAAAACCCACCTTTTTTAACGTTCATGGGTTTATATATATCAAAGAAATGATATATCTTTTACAATGTATTCACGTAAGATAATATAAAAATATCTTTCAAAATGTTTCTAACGTACTTGTAAAAATTAATTTCTTTAGCAATATATTTATGTAGAATAACGATAAAAATAATATTTATGACTATTTCTTAAAAGCTATAACGTTTACTTAAACAAATGTCTTTTAGACGTTCATTTCATCAGAATAAACTTACCGTAATTTTTCACTTCAAAAAAATAGATTTCTCTTATAGATCTCTTGTCAGTTTCCTTTGTTTAAAACAGAAAAAATATATTATAAAATCTAATTAATAGGAAATTTAGTGCTGTCTTTAATCATTTAATGTCAATTTACCAGTTTTACAGTATGTCACTAGCGGATGAATACTTTTTCTATTTTTCTGTACTTATATTTCATATGTTTCCACATGTCAAAGTAAAACGTATCCACTTATCCTTTTTATACACATACAAATATATGTAAAATCAGGGGTGATGAATAGATGTCGTTAAAAATTTGAACAAAAATCAATAAAGCAAGGCTACGTTCACAGAACGCAGCATCCAGCACAACCCAGCCACACCAGCAGGGCACCCAGAAGGTACCGAACGAAAAAACGGGAGAAGTCTCATGGGCGGCGAAATGAGGGAAGGGACGATGTTTGAGTCTTGATTTCTGATTTGACTGTGGGTTGTTTCGCTCGGATATGCATAAAAAATAAACATTGTCAAGACAATGTTAATCATTTACAATGTGTAAAAGTTACCTAAATATATTTTTTCTAAGTCCAGAAATCTTCCATTGACATTGTGTGTAAAATGATTGATTCTTTTTTGGTGTTATGTTGTAACGTTGAAATGTCCATCAAGGTATACATGATAAAAGTTTAGTAATTCGTTGGACTATTGAAATACATAAAATTGTAGTTAATTAAGACAAACCCCAATAGACAGAACTAATTCCATAACAAATGAACATTAAATAATCATTCTAACCAATGTTATATGTATTCCAAACCAATGTTATATGTATTTCAAACCAATATTATATTATGTATTTTAACCCAATGTTATATGTATTTAAAACCAATGTTATATATATATTTTCTCCTACATTAACTGCTGGTCTGAACTGAAAATTAACCATTTAGATAACTTCTAACGAGTTGTTTTGGTTTATGCATTTTGTCTTTTAAGTGACCAATTTCATCTTCATATTTTTATGGTTTATATGGCTTTTTTGATTATTATGTTTTTGATTTTGTAAAATAAATGCTAAAAGCATATATATTTAATTGTACAGATCGTTTTGTGTTATCTTACAAATTGTGTGTTTAAAGTCTTGTGTAATTTCGGTATTTTTATTCTTTTGCTAAAGTTTAATTAATGATTAAAGAATTGATATAAGATTTCTTTATCTTGTAGTATTAACTTACATTTGCTTGAACATGTATCATCCAATGGCCTAGCATTGGTTCCTTTGATAATTGAAGGTAACCCTCTATACCGAATTTGTTTCTGACCCCTATCAGTTCATCTATCCTATATTTTTTAGGGTCCTACAAAATAAGAAATATGTACACATTAATGTAATTGTAAGGAATGAGTATAAAAATATATATGAAACTCCTTTCCGAATTGGGAAAAAAGTTGAAGTACGGAGTAGCAATCCCATTTGGCATTAACAGGCCTTTGCTTGTTTTCGGATCACATTAAATATTTTGTTTAAAATATTTCGAACAGTTAAACGTTAAAAGAATTATTTACTTATATTGCATTAAGAGGTATAAATGTTGATGTAAAAAAATGAATATATCTTACCTACTAAAATGAAATCTAAACATGACTTTTTTAAACGATAATAACAAGTTCAAAGTCAATCTAAACTTGTATTAATGTGCTAATATAAATATGCCTTTTTTACTTTTTACGTCCATGCATTTTTAGAATGCTAGTAAGCATTCTTAAATTTAAGACATTATAAACAAATTGCTATCATAACGAAAGTAAATTACAACAAAGGTCTTTAATAATCTTAAAAAACACATTGAAATGGACGAATTTTGTTAGTTTGGTAAAACTTACGAAGATTTCTATATTCAGTAACGGATCTGCTAAACTCAACTTGCTATCAACGGTAAAAACTCTGTATTGCACTGTAAAAAATAAAATTAGACGGGTTTGATTTTCAGAAAAGACGTTAAGTGTCTAACGGCATTTTAAGTACAAGCAGGTAGTCAAGCTTTTAACATAATTCCGGTACCAATAAAAAACGCTGAAACCATGTTTTGCCCTACCACGGCTGTACTCGAAGTCCTTGACCTTTTAAAGGTGAAATAAAAATGGCCGCCATTTACATTTATTATCTACTTTATAATTTATTATTTCTATGTTAATAGCGTATTGTTTGTCTATTCATCTACATGGTTTTCAGTTTCAATTATTTTTAGCTTTTACTGGTTGATAATCAAACGATTTACACATTGACTACTATGGCGGCCATCTTTGATTTCAAAATTGACACATTTTTAACAAATAGAAGTAAAGTGGTTTAAAACAAACGGATCATAAAACGATAATAATAATGATTAAGCAACATGCCATGTAGAATTATACACACTGTGTAGGTATACTGCACACTTTAATTGTTAATTACATCATTACTTCAAACTATTACAGGTCATTCTTTATGGATAATTAATCAATGTCAGGTATCTAAGATTCCAAATGTGTAACATTAAAACCTGCAAAATTTTATTTACCATTAGATGTGTAAGTTTAAATTTTGATAAAATAACATTTGGAACACTAAATTATTTTATTATTTGATTGTCAAGAGTTAAGGTCAGTATCTAAATATTTAAAAAAGGGTCTTCATCTTCAAAGGTCAGCGACTATGTTACTTTGCGGGCCGCGGCTGCATGTCATTGCAACAGCATTTGCTAAACAATCCGATTTAGAATAGAAAAGAAAAACAGAATCCCTCAAAACGCTTAAAACGACAAAATTGTAAACGTTGCAGGCTCGTATGGATTGAGCCTGTTCATGGACAGTACTGCAAATTGCAAGCTACCGTCTAAGACCCCTAGCACCGGTCTAAGCAGAAATTTAGAAACATCGCTGAGGTGTTTGTACAATATGTTTTGATTGTTGTATTGATGTAGCTACTTTATTAAGTGCCAGCTTGATTTTTTTTAAAAATAACTTCATTGTCTTAGTTAATATCAGCATATACATTATATGCCAATTACCAAAGACGCTGAACCTTATTCTATCCCATGTTCTAAAATTCTTCCAGTGACTTAGCTATATTCAATTTTAATACATATTTTGTCCTTAGCTTACTTTCAAAAAATTGAAAGGGTATCTTATTCCATGAAATAATATATTTTCCAATGTCATTTGCTTCAATATATTTATTTTATCTCATATATTTCAACTGTCTCTACATAAAATTACTTTGGTATTTCATAGTGTAATTTTTGTGAATAAAATGAGAACCAACTATTTTTGCATTATCCTAACAGTTATGTAATACAATGATAAACAATTGAAATGTCCCTGAAGCTCGGAGGCTCGGTAAAAGGATCCATAACAATTGATTTACATTGAAGGCATGGCTACTGTAATAGTCTTTCAAGTCTTACAAAAAGAATAGAAACATAAAAAGTATTTATATATAAAAATATTTCTTATCATTTTAAAAATCATCTATGAATGAATGACAAAGAAATAGACGTGACTTATTGTGTCAATGTGCCATATATATCTATGCAAAAATGTTTCAAAAACATCAATTAATTCAAAAGATATAAACCCTTTACAACCATTTTTCACGTTTATATCACGGTTTATGTTATAAAAGTTTAACTTTACCACAACCATGCTAGTCGTGCTCTTGCGCATGACACAGCCTTTTCAAATTACACATTTACGCAAAGTTATGGTTGTTCCAGGATGGCGACATATACAATTAATAAGATTTAACATTTTTTACACGTACACCGCCTGATACTAGTCAATAGAAGATAATTTAATACCACATAACGTCATAGACGACACAAGTACTCAAACACAGCCGTCTACGGGCACGCCATCCGTCATGTTTTTGTCGAGTTTTGTATTATAAAGAATTGAAATACTATCTTCTCGCACAAAGCTCGACACAAGTTTGTAGACTACCATGGGAAAGACACTATACTACTCTTAAAAGAAGGAACATTAACTCTATTGTTCAGGACAGAGTCTATTTCGTAAAAAAAATATTTTTCGAATGCCAGCCTTAATGGCGATTCCTAGTAACTTTGGAAAAACTAAAATTTGCTTTTTAATATCAAATCGTGAATGGCAAATTGTTAACCGAATTCCCCACTAATGAACCTTTACCAAATTATTTTAAAGTTTCAAAATAGGCTTGACCCTGATCTTTGGGTTGTTTAATTGGCTTTCAGGCACTACACGTCCTAATACATGTTCTTGCGCAATTGACAGTAACATAAAAATATCCTTTCTTTGAAACCAAAACATTTTCATGATTGGTTTCCTTTTTTGAAGATTAAGTATTAAGTAAAGTACATCATTTCCCGATCCATTATTAAGCCGAGTATTTATGCTAAGTTATTTCTAAATCCAACTTTTAATGACAGACTCCTAAACTGTACAAAGTTTTTCAATCACCTGCAAGTCTAACTTGAAGTGTTGAGCTCTAATCCATGAACTTTCTTATGTCTTGTCTCAATGTGCCACACATTGATGCAATTTATTTCATAATCAATCCGAAAATGACAGATATGGACTGGACAAATTCTTACAGAATGACTTGTGCGGATGTATGTGTTTTTCATTATTGTTTCTAACTCAAAATGCAGCCTTTTTGCCTCCATGAACCAATAATTCCTCTTAGAAGTCGGGCGTATACGGAATGAATCTTAACGCCAACTTGTTACTAACTGGGACTTGACACGCTCGGATGAATAGACAGAAGGGCGGACATTTGATCAGTCCCCCCACCGCTTTCAGGACGAAAACAACAATTGAAAAATTATCGCAAAAGTTTAAAAAAAAACATGTATTGTATTCTAAGAAGTATATAAATAACATCTAAAACCAAAGCAAATATGGCTATTTTTTTTTGGTATAATCTGTGACCCTTTTGCACCATAACGTTTGCAATTTTAATGAATGCTTTTCTAAGTCTTAATAAGTATGACTGCATTTATAATAAAAGAAAGCAAGCATAGTAAAAAGTATTCTTGCCCTTGCTTACTTAAAAATCAATACAGTGTATAGAGACGTATAGGAAATTGTCAGCCATTTTGAAATCCAAGATGGCTGCCACTATAAACTTCATTTTTGTGAATATAGTTTTCTTGTTCACACTTCAGCAGACTAGAATTAACACAGCTTTAAATTAAAATGCCAAAAATGTGTTAATATTTCGCCAATGGGAGAATTAAAGTAAAAATAAAAATGTTCAATGGTGGCCATTTTAAAATTGATTTTTAAAGGGCAAGGACTTAAAATACAGTCGTGGTAGAGCAAGAAATGACTTCAGCGTACTTGAAATGGGTAAGTAAGCCCAACTAACTGCTTGTACTAAAAATACCGTTAGGATGAACTTTTTCCCAAAATCAAACCAGTCTAAAAAAAACAGGCAGAAGTTAAACATTCATTCATTACCTTGTAATACTTCGATAAATTAGCGTCTATTGTTTGAATCCTCTTATATTCGACAGAAGTACTAGTATATGTATAAAACAGATGACACTTAAACATGTACATATGTACATGTATGTGGCACTTTAGGAACTTGAATTCTTATAGCTCTACTAAAATAAAAGTGATAAATCACTCAACATCTTTCAAATCACTTAAAAGAGGTCGGAGATCGAGTCTTTGTTTTAAGGTCCGACGGTATGTGCCGGAATGAATACAAATCTGTAAAAAAACCCATAAAATCTAGCTTCAAATATACCTTTATCCCCTGGCTTATACATGGCTTTATCAGTCTGCACAAAGATATCAAGCGTTTTCGGTATCTGGAATAACACCGATGTTGAGTTTTTAAACGTTATAGGACCAGTACCCGAAATATGTACTTCATAGCTTCCCACTGACAATTTTGCCGGAATCTAAAAGCAGAATAGGACAACGACGAGATTGAAACAAGAGTAGAAGTGTGAATATTTCACTTTTTCAATAAAATACAAATATTTTAAAGTGATGAGAAATGAAACAAACTAAAGATAGTTTTTGCAATACATCACCCGGAGTAACCCATGGCGATTTCATTATTTACATGTTCATTGCGATTTAATAACTGCGATCACTTGGTACGTATTTTAAGAAGAAACAGCCCAAAATTGTACATACCGGTAGATATAGTTTAGTATTCGTCGCCACTGAAAATAGATAATTCATACAAATCCAAGAACATAGATTCGTTGTAGATGGATAAAACAGAAAAGGTGAGCATATCATAGGTTCAGGTCTGTTCGTAGGCGGCAGTGACTAAACCTTTTTTACCGTTCACATACCCATGAACGACTTATGCAGAACTGAATATTGAATTAATAAAGAACATTAAATCAACCACGGATGTGTTCATATGATGATGACTATGGAATGTACAATGTGACCCTTTCGTGTCATTTCATGAAAATAGATGTGTGTTCTCCAATATAATGAAAAGCAATTAGCTGAACTAAAACAATGGAATAGAGAGCGAGCAGATTAGAGATTTTGCAAGTTATGCTGCTGGCATATCACTGTTATCTGTTTTTAAAATTTTAAAAGTATGCAGTATATCCGCTTAGGTCGTTGACTTGTATTCAAGTAGGAAAATTGGAACAATTTAAAATGAAATGATGTAACTAATAATATGATTAAAAACACAATTTAAAATGTCGTGATGAACAATCTTCAATTTTTAAAAATATAATAGTTTGCTTGGTTTGCTTTTACACTGACACCTTTAAAGATCTCATGGCGACTGTCCAGCTTTACTGTTAAAGGAATACATCAGGTTACCCTCAACTTGCATTAATATAAGTACGACGGATGGCCTTCTGAGTAGCATAGCTCGGGTGGCTTCCTCACGACAAAGAAAGTCCCTCAGTTAGAGAAAAATTGCATGTATTATTTTCTTTCAAATGTTTTTGCTGATGTTATTGTTTTAGTGTAACTACTATTTTTCTACGTAATTCATTTAATTCATTTTTATATATTTCCATATTTTTGACGGGTGGGGATTGGGGAGTTGGGTAGGTATGGCGGTCTGCAAATGTTTTATTTACTTTGGTCTGTTGGTAAGTGTTAGTTAGTAAACATGGTAAATGTCAGAGGAAGATAACCGAATTGAAAGTTATAAGAAAGTCATATAGAATAGTAATATGAACACATTGAATGTTCACTTACTCCTAGGTACGCCCACAGTGACAACTGAATGTTCCTTCTGTGTTTCCAACCCACCAGGAGCCCGCTGAATCTGGATCAGTTTTGCCGTCAACTTTTCATTGATAACAGGTTTTGCGAAGAGTACCTGAATGGTCGAATTGCTGCTTTCTCCCTTGTTTATATATCTTGGAATAAGTGCCATATATGTGTACTTTGATGTTTGACCTTTAACGGATTTTACTCTAAAATAGTAAAATATGGTTTAAATACATTTAAATGTTACGAAATGTTAAGAATTAAATGTACGTATAATTATAAAAGTCATCCATTGACATATAATTATGCTTCTGCTAAATCATATGAAATAATTGCTAATTTAAATGTTTAATGGATGTAATTGATACAAGACTCTTTAATAGCGACATATATTTACTGTTTTAAACATTAATAGCAAAATGAGATCTTTAATGAAAGTCAGTTACTTTCCTTGACTTTGACTGAAATGACAAAAACTAAATTGTTTCTACAAATTGTTTTCATTCAAACTTATTGCAAATCTGTTTTGAGTTGGCTTCTTGTTACTTTTTATCCTGAACATATGTCATTTATAAAAAAATAAAATAAAAGTTAACTGTAAAATAACAAGTAATGATTTGGACATACTTCTGACCATCGGCCATACTGGCAATCAGCAGGAGGACTCCTGCTACGTTGATCAGCATCTCGTTGATTTTCGCAAATGAATCAAGTTAACTGAAAAATAGTAATAATATGTACACGCAAGCATATTCTTAACATAATAATATTTTTTGCTTCTTCTTAGAATTAACCAATTCTATAGCTTTCAAACATTTTTTTTATTTTAACGTGATGTTTTGATTCGAAAAAGAAGAAGTATTTTGTTTCGGTAACTTATACATTTATTGTATCTTGTTACATACAGTAAATACAAATACAATAATTTTGTGGTCACATTGCAAAAGCAAAGAAAACAAAAATGATAATAATAAAAACATTAAAAGTTTAAGTAATTATTTCCTACACGTTTTGATTAAATTTGTTTCAAACGGAGGACAGACAGTTGCAAATGAAGAAAAGTAAAAGAAAGACCATCACAAAATCATCGTCATTTATAGCAATAAAGAGTTATAGAAAAAATAAAACAGCCTATGTCAAAAATTGGCTTTGTCAAAGTCATACATTTACCTATCACGAGCCTTTCGGGCGTGTACCAAATATTTTGCTTAAATGTTTTCTTTTTTCGTGTCTTTAAGATATATATTTTCTTGCCAATTAATATATTTATCTGTAAATAAAGAAGACATTCTTTTTGTCGGTGCTTTAATTTTTTATTGTTGTTGTTTTGTTTCTTTTTTTATTAGATTTGTGAGCGTCGCACCAACACTGTAAAGACAATATGTTGGTTTACAAAGCAATTGGAAAGTGTGGCTATCACTTTAAAAGAGTTTAATAAAGCAATTTGTTCATATGGCGGGCTTTATTTAATCAAATTGCCCATTACTCCCAGCACTAAAGTTATTTGAAACAATGGAGCAGAAACATAACAATTATAAAAAAAACACCAAGGTTAATAAGAAAATCATCGCCATAAAACGCAAGACACCATATACTCAATGTGAAAATATAAATTTAAATTTAAAGTTTAAATTTCATTGAATATTAAAATGTACTTACACACACACACACGCACGCACGCACGCACGCACGCACAAAAACGCACGCACGCACACACACACACGCACGCACACATATACATACACAAACGCACGCGCGCGCACACGCACGCACGCATGCAAGTTGCAAAGGTAATATACCAAGCTTATTATTATGATTTTTGTTAACAATATATTTATAGCTACCTTATTATGACAGCCGTTTCATGTTTATTTATCAATTTAAACAACAACAAAAACAAAAACACGTACGCACTATGAAATAAATGAATTAATATCATGATTATTTAAATGTAAGCAATTTACGCGTCAATTGAGACAATCTGCAATTTTTTGTTGCAATTAAATGAAGCTGCATTTTGTATTAAACGTTTATTCACTGTTATGGCTATGTTTTGTTTGTAATAACAAAATGTTCTTTAAAAAAGAAAAAAGAAACACTTCCCCTGGTGCAGTCACACTATTTTCACAATATAATTGTGTAATTAGTTTTACTGTGAAGACTATTATTTCAGAATGCTTGTGTTCATTAGTTTTGTTATTTTAATGTGTTTACGTCAGCATAATAATATTACATTCATAACAGGTAACTATTACTAAACAAGTGCTTCTGGATTCTACACCAGTATTTATTTGCTTTATCAAAATTTAAAGAAAATTGGCCCATAACTGAAGGTATGAAATACCATCACTTATTATGTCGATGGTATTTAGTAACATATGTGACAACAAAGTATGAAAAAATTATATATAGATGTTGTTGGCTAGTGTCAGATATATGATCCTATATTTTATTTTTTATATAAAGCAGATAATTAATTGCCCTAGAACAAAATATCATTATTCATCAAATAAATGGCCAAAAAACTAGATAAACATTTATTTCGGAAACATTTACTAGTACCATCCAAATAATACATTACTTTAATGTTTTGTATCAATTCTTTTTAAGTATTTAATGAAAAATGTGGTCCGTATAGACAAATCCACTTAAAAACAACAACAACAAATGCTACAATATCATTATCTTAAACAGATACAGATAGACGAGGAGTACAAACTAATCAAACCAAAACACACGACAACAACAAGTTGAAAATGTCCACTTTTACGCACAATATTGTTAAAAAACATACTATACATAAATAGATGGACGCTAACACTTGACCTTTTGAAAAGTCTCGGTAACGCCATATAATTGTAGCATATGTACAGTTGCAAGTTGCAGTTTTAATAGTAAAGTGAACATTTGATCACAGTTCGTACAAATATATACAACATTTTTAATTCAACGTCATAGTTTGTAACACTAACATACATGTATATGTATTTTACAGACAGACAGTAAATTAAATGAATATATATGAGTTAGCAAATGAATTATACTTAAATAGAAGTACATTGAACGTTGCTTTCATTTTATAGTGATCAAACCCTAGATAGCCTTCTGCAGATATATTGAGCAAAATTATGTGCCCTTTAATAATCGAGTTTGCAATATCATTGTAGTACAATATACAATTTCAGAATTACCAATTTCCTGAGATTGGCAATACCAAAAGAAAAAAGGATAAAATAAATTAAAATAAAAAGAAACACAAAGAAGAAAAATAGCTGCGGAGATAAACAATGACGCCACTGACAAAGGGACCAATTATCATATACTATAAACAACGTTTACTAAATATCAGTTTTATATGTTTGTAGTATTAAGTGCAACAATTCTTTCAAATTGTCAATTCTTAATAATTTCTCCATTGACTTTTACATTAAATTCTTTTAAATATCAACACATGGAGCCGTTAACGTGCTCTTAAATGCATGCGATTATTTACAATCGCTCGTTGTTAAATTAAAAAAGTTAGCAAAATAGTTTTACAATAATTTACATGCTTTGAAAATCAACAGTATCTGCAAACGGCTTTTTTTAACAAGAAAAATAAAAGTTAATAAAAAAAGATGATTATGCAATTTATATATGTCTTGAATGAAACTATATAGTTAATGTTCACATACCTTTGCTTATCCTTTTGTCAAACCTAAGTCTGAGAACGACTCGAGTTTTAACCAGCCTGCGTAACGTGAACCTTCTTTATAAACTTAATATGACCCCTAACGTGACTCCGAGAACCACAAACAAAATAAAAAATGAGAAAATCTTGTTTTAATGTATGACTACTGTCGCCATTGGCCATTGTCTTAATTTTTCAACTCTGTACTAAAAATGAAAGGCCAATGAACTGTTTTAAACTATTGTGTGGCTAAATCTTTACAATTTACATTTTTTGTTTATTATATTAATTAAAGCATCATTTTCTTGCATGGTTAACCTATGTGGGGCTTGAAATATGTAAGGAGATTAATTGCAACTAGGTTATGATATATCTTATAAAACATTATCAGTCTACAGTCAATCTGCGATGTTCAAGAGATCGCCAGCCCAGTTCTTCTGTATGAATGTGACACTAGAGAGAGGGGAGTAATTTCTTTTTACCCACCGTATTGCACGTCTCTGGATCATCTCAACTTTGTAAATATTGGATTTAGTGTATAGAGACCAAATAGTTGAAGCATATTCAACCTGTGGCCGGACCAGGGACTTAAATGCTAGTTCTTTTACTTTTTTACCTTCCTTTTGATAAAGTCAAGAGATCTGTTTGCTTTGGAAGTTATTATGTAAAGATATATGTTTATTAAATTTAAGGTCAGCAGACAGATCTAGTCCGAGATATTTAGCATTTGAGACCGACTCTAGGACTTGGCCATGGAGCATATATTGGTGTTTAATTATGGTTTTATCTTTTGTGATATGGATGACTTGGCACTTTAAAGAGTAAAACTTCATGTCCTACTGCTTCTCCCACAGAACCATATTGTCTAGATCATGTTGGAGTGTTGAGGATCCGAGGAGGAATTGATGGTTAGGTATACAACAGTGTCATTTGCAAATAATCTAACTTGGAATTTAAGGACAGAAGATGGTAGCTTGTTGATATATAGAAGGAAACAGACCGGCCCTAGCACTGAGCCTTGGGGCACTCCAGAGGTATCTGGAACTTCAGATGAGCAGTCACTATCCAAAACTACTGACTGTCTACTTCCAATAAGGAATGACTGTATCTAGTTTAGAATTTGAGGACAGACACTATGTTCTTGAAGGGTATCTAAGAGTTTAAGATGGTTTACTTTATCAAAAGATTTAGAGAAGTCAAGACATATGAGATCTGTTTGTTTGCCATTTGAAAGGTTGTTCACAAGGTTATCAGTAAGTTCGATGAGCTGTGTCTCACATGATCTGAATCCATGCTGAAGATCATATAGTATGTTGTTGGTGGTAAAGTGAGAGGATAGCTGAGAGGCAACTATGTGTTCAAGTGTTGATGCAAGCAAGCGAAATTGGGCGATAGTTTGATGGATCACTTGTATCACCTTTTTTATAGACAGAGCATACTTTTGCACTGGACCAGTCATGGGGAATATTACCGGTGGTCAGGTATTTTTGGAAAGGAACTGAAATGATGCCAACAATTTCTTCTGTCAGCTCCTTCAATTGGTCTTATGATGTCAGGACCGCCAGCTTTGTTGGCATTTAGGTTGGCGAGGAGCTTTAGCACACCTGTCTTACTGATAATGATGCCATTCATTTGTGGGTACTGACAATACTTTCTGGGGTCCATGAGTATCACTTTTTGATCTTGAAGTGTGAGTGGTATAATTGGTGAGAAAACTGACTGAAATTATTTGTTAAGAATGTTTGATTTTTCGGTGTTATTTTTTTTGAGAGAACCTGAATTTTTATATTTTAATGAAAACACACTTTGTGAATCTTGTTTAGAGTTTTTTGTTTGTGTATTTAGCTTTTGGTACAGACTTTACTTTGTGTATTTGTTTCTTCATCATCATCTGCAAGGTTCAGGATGTTTTCTAAATAATACTCATATGATTGTTTAATTCTAGCTTTTATTTGAGATTTAAATTTTTTTAATTTTAGCCATTGATCAAGATCAGATTTATTTTTATTTGGTTTTGTTTTGTTTTTTTTAAATATTATTATAGAGTCGGTCTCTTTTATGAATTAATGTACCCTGTCTTGTGAGTACCAGCACATGTTACTTCCGATAACTGTACCCTTCTTGGAGGCCTATATATTTTAACTTGTATCTTTCTTACGAGTACAAGAAGCAGACATATTTATAGCTGGCCCGAAGGGTCTGTTCGCAAAGCAAGCTTTATGGTAACGCGAGTACCTGCTAGATAGTGATGGTTTTGAAAACTTTCGTCCGAAGTATAATAGGACAGGGAACCAGAATAAACGGAAGCAGTGTATAAAATAAAGAATGACATTTTTAAAACGAAAAATGTAAAATAAAAAAGAACGATTATTTAATACTATTTCACGGTAAAAGTAAATCGAGTTTTATCTGAAATTCTTCTGAATAAATAATACTTTAAATGTTTGTGTTTGTTTTTTTAACACACAATACTTAA